TGGAAAATTAAAAGGCATTGAAGAATTTTGAATACACCTAATGAGAAAAGAAAAAAAAAACACACCACTATTAACTACAAATTACATTGCCAAAAGAGTGTTGAATGAATACAAAAACCAATAAACACATTCTTTTACCTCAAAATATACATTAATGGATAACAAAAAGAATGACAAAAATTGACCCATTTCCCACACTTTGTTAACAAGCTACCATAAGTGACGATTTGGCTTGAGCATAACAGCTTAATCTTCATGTCATTCTATTTCTCAAAAATGTACTAGGCAAGTCGCACCTTCAGAAAGTCAACTCTTGCTAAGAGATGGTAAGATCATCAGACATTACTGAGGGTATTCGGTGGCACTTCAAAATCTTTGAAGTTGCAACTTTTGCTAAGCGACGATTCAACACAATAACCCTATCATCATCCAAATCAAAGCGCACGCTCTCTTCGCTGCAGTTTTCGACAAGTAGGCATAAATGTTTCAAATTGTCAACTTCAACTCCGTTAACCTTCTTAACCTGCCACCACATGTTTAAAAAAAAAATCACAACATAGTAAACAAGTACATGTGTACGATTGTCAAGTTGTATCCTGCCGACTTCCTATCATATCAGTAACGTGGGGAAACAATAGCCTAACATCAATGACACCTCAAATATAAGTGATACAGATGTGTCACAGTAATAAAAGTAGGAAATTGTCACACCTGTAACTCTGCAAGACGTTCATATCCTGCATTGATATCGTCCATTAGGACCTGAACACATTAAACAATTGTCACGAAATTATTCAATGACCTGCTCAATCAAAAGAAAATTCCTAAAAGTGGCTATCCCGGTAAAAACTAACAGTATACCATTTTAAAGTTGAAAAAAAAATGTATGAAATTTATCAATAACGAAAGGTTAGAGCTACACGTTCTTGGACGGATTCTTATAAAAGAACATGGAGGGGGATAATAAATTTGGCGGGGTTGACAACATCATGACATAAATTATAAAAACTAGAAAATAACAAAACAAAACTTATTTGTCAGTATGATTATATTAACTGATTTTGACTAACATAAAAAGGACATCATTGACAGAATTTTATCTCAACTAAATGAAATTCACAGCTTTATATTCTTTCATCATTCTACTTTGCAAAATTCTTTTCTTAGTGGCACATACAACGAACAACAAACTAATGCAGAAATATGACTTATATCACTTAAATAATGTATCAATACCTGAGAAAGGATGACAAGCTGTTGACCAGGCCGTTTTGGTGGTTCCCTCAATGCGCTCTCACACAATCGTCGAGGTGAAGAATTGTACCAGTCTTCTCCATACTCGTGAAGGTATGGCTGAGTGAGTGGAACAAAGACCAAACCAGCAAAAATGTAATAACTAGGAAGCTTATCGAACTGATGAACTGGAACTAATGGCTGTAACTGCATAATTGAACAACTAATGAATCAATTGAATAAAAAAAACAAAAGTATATACTGCACAGCAGAGCAAATCGTACATCACTGATTAAACCATCCTATGAATTTCAATTCACATCTTACTATTGAAGTTAAAATTTGCATTTAAGACATAGAACCAATCTAATTATCACTGCAATAACAAAACTTTGGTGAGCTCAAACTTTCCTAGTTTCAGGTACCAAAATTCTTCCTATGCCAATCTACGAGGTGAATATCACAAAGGTCACAAATATCTTAAAAAGATAGTAAAAGAACAGTGATATAAGTAACATCATGTGGTTCTGCCAAAAAAATCCCCACATCCTTGCACCAGACTTCCCTTCCTTGTATATCTCTCCCAACCATCACAAAGTTCAACCGGAACCGCATAGCGTATACCATGCCCACAAAAATCTTCAATATCCATTCTAACCATGTGCAGTCTAACCTTAACCAAAGCCGAGCCAGATCTTAATAAACTCAATGGAACCTAATCAAAAAATTATAAGACAACCAAAAAATGATATTCTACATAAATTTCTTAACTTTTTTTTTTCCTTTCAAAAGAATGTTCCTAGAAACCAGCTATTTTCTCCACTTTGAATTACTCGAAACAAAAAGAGAAATAAAAGTTTGTGAGTTTAAGAGACATCTTATCTTATGCTTGTGATTCTTCTATGGAGAAAACACTAAACTAAACACACATACAAAATAGTACCATACTTACAGGTTGAAGGGCGATACTGAATTCATACTCTTCACCGTCCCTCAGAACTCTAACTATGGCTGTTTCGTTGGGTTTCTTCATAGAAACCAAATGGTCAAATGTTATCCGCTCTCTGTTTCGAAAATGAACTGCATCGTGCATCGTGCTAAAAATAAGAAAGCATGGGGAAAACAAATATCTACAAAGTAAAAAAACCTTCCATTCTGCCTAAAGATCTTCACTGTTACCCAAGCCAACTGTCAACTTCTAGTTACACTACAAATACATGCATGTGAAGCAATTGGAATGTATGATAGGGCTATTGCAACAAAATTTTCATTTGCTCCCATCTCCACGAACCACAATCACATTGGTATTATTAAAGTTAGGGAATAACAAATGACTACCTGTTCCATCATTCGCTACAGGCACTCCATCAAAAACAAGGATAATATCATCTTTCTTCAAGACTTTATAGGCATCCGAGAGTGGGTTAATTTTGTTCACTAGTACCCCGGTCATTTCAGGGCGCATCCGAAAGTGGTTCCTCAGTTGAACATTTTCAATGGGTTGGCATGACAAACCCAGAGAGCAGAATCCAACATACTTGCCACTTTCTTCCACTCCAGCAATAAAATGCTTTATTACTGGGACAGGAATTATATAACTGAAAATTCCAACAGATGAAGAAAGCAAAATTTAGCAAAAGAACAACAAAGCTCTGAGACGCCATTAAGGGTTAAGGAAGTAGTTTCTCAAACTCAACCAAGAGACTCTTGGTGACTTTGTCTGCCTGTAGACTGGACTTGCACTATTGAGTGTCAAATCACACCTTTGTTCCTTTACAACATGTCCAACAAAAAGAAAATGAATACTACAGATCCTATCTTACCGAACAAAATGAACAATGGCCATCTGAACTAAAATAAGACTCACCCAATATTCTCTGCACCAGAAAGGTTCTGGAAAGCCACACCAGCAACTTTATTGCCCATGATTGCTGGACCGCCACTATTCCCTGGATTTATTGCAGCATCAATTTGTATTGCCATGAGCTGGGTTGCCCCGTGTACATATTGAGTGGGTTCAACCCTAGAAACAACACCTTTGGTAACTGAAATGTTATCACCACCTGGGACCAAAAGCGTTGCATTAATTAAGTTATGCACTTTCTCTGTGCACCATGCTTTCAGCCTTTCACTATTAATTCATAAAGAGAAAAACAGTACAGGTAGAACACGAGTCCATTGGTATAAGTCCTTTCACTACAAAAATAAACTAAAGAAGCTATAGGTTAAAAGAGAAAGATATCAGGCACACATCCAAGCAAAATGAACTATGAAGAGTGAAGAAAAGCACCTTTGGGATCAATCAAAAGAAATCAATCCTCTCTGTTTATTATTTTTACACAAAAAGGAGCTAAGAAGAAAGGTTTCTGCTCAAGTAGCTGCGCCAAAGATTCTCATTTCATATTTCCTTAAATTTCAATCGTCAGAAATATTAGACTGGTTTGATTTCTTTTCAAGTAGAAAGTATTCTAGTGATTTCAAGATTTTCTGGAATTTGCTTTTTCAGTGCTCCACAAGTCTAATTTTACATCTTGGAGACATTTTCTCTTATGCTTTAGAAGTTCATACTCAGTTCGGTTTTTTCTTTTACTGGTTTATGGGAGAACCCTAGTCCCTGTTGGAAGAGAAGGGGACATAGCAGGCCTCTATGTAACCTCTCAATAAAGCAGAGATTATGCCTTCTCTTCCTAGGTTTATTTATTTCTTCTATTCAATGTTCATTTTTTTCAGAAATTTCTGCAACCTTAAGATTTGATTTCAGCATCACAGCATCCATTAAGATCCAATTTCCATCATGCATAACCAGGCTAGAACCAGGCTTTAAATGCAAAACAATGATGTGAATGAACCATCATGCTAGCTAACTATAAAGCTGAAGTGTTTAGGATCCTGCATAAGATTTGGTATCGCACCCACAACAGCTCTTCATCCTATTTATAGTAGTACTATTTTCACAAATTACATGTGAATATAGGCATTATGCAATGAGGTATTGTTTCTGACTGATAATGATATGGGTCTACTTACCCTAGATATTGAAAACAATTATGTGTTTTATCTTGTTTTTCTATCTTCAGCTTCAGGATGATATAATATTACTTAGATCACATTAAAGATAAAAAGTGTGGTAAAGAGTAAAGTTGATTGTTACCTTGAGGATATCCAACAACAGCCACGGCTTGTTGCAGAAAAGGAATGTCCCCTAGATCGAGGGAAGCCATACCCTCCCAGAAGTCTTGACTTTCAACGGTCAAAATGGCTAAATCACATTCATGACCAACAGCGTTAACTTGGGCTCTGTACTTGGTAGGAGAGCCATGCTTTCTTACAAGTACAAAGGTATGATCAGCCACTACATGAGCATTTGTCAGAATTTTCTTCCCACGGATTACGAACCCTATGTTATAAATTACGAACAGAATATTTTAAAGTTAGAAGGAAACTAATGCAGGCAAACGAAGTTGAATGTTAAAATCAAAGATAAATAAAATTCGAAATCAAGTAATGCAGATGGTGACAATTGGAGCTTTGAAAATGCAATAATATGGCAATGGAACCTAATTGAGGGTTTTTTATGTGTTAGTGTTCCATTACCTTGCCTTATCAAGCTGCTATTAGCCTATTTCAATTGTATTCAAAGATAAAACTCCCTCGACTTGAGAAAGAATAAATGAGAGAATGTTACCGGAGCCCATGGTTTCTCGCTGGGACTTGTTCTGCCAAGGAAGGAAGTAGTTAGGGCTGCTCGTCACAGTGAAGATCTTCACCACTGAATCCAATGCTAGCTCTATTGCATCAGTATCCGTCGTGGTCCTCCTCTGGATGTTCCTCCCATCACCTAGACCTAAACGTGGTCGTGGGCGTCGTCGTTGCACGTGCGCTGCAGCTGATGAGGGGTAGGGGAAAGACCCATTAGAGTTAACTGGCTCGGAGGAACAAGAAGAAGACGCAGCGGCGGCGGCCGCAACTTCTTCAACAGTAGCTGCGGCTCTCCTGGTACTGGTAGAAGTACAAATACTAGTCCCTCTTGCGGTTGCGGTTGCCTTACTAGCTATTAACTTTATAGAGGAAACAGAGAGCCTGGTGAGTCTATGGACGGACGTTCCCAGCATGTCTTTTTTGATTTGCACGGCAGTCGCTCTGATTTCTGAAACAAGACTAGTTAGCGTGATGAGATGATGAAACGGCCATGTTTTAAGCCGTGTTATTTTATTGGGTAAAAGATTGTACCCTCATGTTTTGTGGTTTTCAATATTTAGTATATTAAAATTTTTTCGTCTCAGATTCATACCTAAAGTGTAAATTTTGAAACAATCTCATACATCCGTTAGTCAAACTGTTAAGTCTCCCGTTAACTGTGACGTGGCGCACTGACTGGGCACCACGTGTCATTCACATATTTTTTTTTCTTTCTTCTTCTTCTTCTTCTTCTTCTTCCTCAGACCGCAACTCTTTTTTTTTCCTTCCTCCTTCTCCTTCTTCCTTCTTCTTCCTTCTCCTTCTTCTTCTTCTTCCTCCGAAATCTGGGGAAGTTTGTTTTTTTTTTTCTTTCTTCTTCTTCCTCCTTCTTCTTCCTTCTTCTCCTTCTTCCTTCCTCCTTCTTCTTCTTCTTCTTCCTCAAAAAAAAAAAAAAAAAAATCTTTCATCCTCCCCCAGATTCGGAGGAAGAAGAAGAAGAAGAACGAAGAAGGGGAAGGAAGAAGGAGAAGAAGGAGGAAGAAAAAAAAAAAAAAAAACTGAATCTGGGTAGATTCGGAGGAAGAAGAAGAAGAAGAAGAAGAAGAAGGAAGAAGAAGGAAGAAGGAGGAAAGAGAAGGAAGAAGAAGAAGAAGAAGAGAAAAAAAAAAAAAAAAAAAGCTTCCCCAGATTCGGAGCAAGAAGAAGGAGAATGAGAAGGAAGAAGAAAGAAGAAGGGGAAGAAAGGGAAGGAAGGAGGAAGGAAGGAAGAAGGAGAAGGAGGAAGGAAAAAAAAAGAAAGAAAGTTGAGTCGGAGGAGGAAGAAGAAGAAGAAGGAAGAAGAAAAGAAAAGAAAAAAAAAACGTGGATGACACGTGGCGCCCAGTCAGTGCGCGCAATCAGTGCGCCACATCACATTTAACTGGAAACTTAACAGTTTGACTAACAGATGTATAAGACTGTCCCAAAATTTACACTTTAGGTATGAATCTGAGACGAAAAAACTTGATGTACTAAATGTTGAAAACCACGAAACATGAGAGTAGTAAACAGTCTTTTACCCTATTTTATTTATTTAAGATTAGCATATGGGCACACAAGGTCTATGAGAAATTTTTTTATTTTTATTTTTGAAATAAAAGGAGAGAGGAAGAGAGTGATAGAGAATGTGGAGTGAGAAGTTTTCTTTTTATTTTTTATTTTTTAATTAGAGATATGTTAGGATTACATGTATGTGAGGCTTTGAAATAAAACAGCAAAATTTGATTGTGTAAAATTACATTTATGCCCCATATTTCTTATTCATATTTTGTTTTAATTAGAGAGTTAAACTGGTAATATCATAAGGTTTTGGTTGACAATGAGTGTTTTATTAATTAGTAAAGATAATATTATGTAATTATTTTATTTTTTTACAAGAAACGATGGTGTGGTATTTCATTACTTTTCCTGTTTCATTAAGTGAGATTATATTCACATACCCCAAATTACTTCTCTCACACCATTTTAATTTTTTAATAGTTTCTACACACCACTAACACTTGGTAGAAAAATATTAAAAAATTAAAAATGTGTGAGGAAAGTAATTTAGGGTGTGTGTATATGATCTCCCTTTCATTAATCAACACAAACAAATACAAGTGTGTCATTGGGTACAAAGCTCTAGTGACCAATAAATTGATCCTGGAGTGAATTTGCACAAATAAGAGTAAACCCCTACTAGGTCACCACAAGCACACAATTGCCACCAGTACAAATCCGTCACAATAACCGATAGACACAACAGAGAAATACAGGCAGCTACATTGGTTATCGCTAAATACCGAGGCCACATAAAGTCATTAAGGTAGAACGAGATAACATCAAGTCATCATTGACAGACGAGACTACATAATCATCGCCCAAAGGCGAATTCCAATCTAGCCAAAACAACAGCGCCACCACGATGCACGTAAGGCAAGTGAAACACAACTACACTACTCCGAGAAAGGATCCGCTGATCAACGCATCACAGTGGGGGACGAGGCACTTAGGCCTTGGCCACCTACAAATTCATCGAACAGTGAGATACCGACATCCACACATCGAACACCATAAAAGCTAGCCATAACAGGCAACGGAGCTGCCAGGTTTGAGATGCACAAGCCGAGTCGTCATATCTGAGTTCACATGCCAGTGCAACCAGAAAAACCAGGTGAGGAAAGTGACACCATCATGAAAAGGAGCTGACGATTGTGGATCTAACCCACCTGCAGCCACGAATCCAACTCCACACCAAGAAACTGAGTGCCAAATCAAATAAGAAATCTTGAAAGGGCATGACTCGGATTAGGGTATAAAACTTAAATCCATGGAAAGCTGCACATAAAAAGGTGGGAAAGAAGCACGAGAGAGGAGATGAGGGAAGTAAAGATTAGGAATGAGTGGTCGGCGTGAGGTCAGTGGGGAGATAAGGTCATGGATGGCGAGGGGATATAAGGCTGGGATGGAGAAGAGGGGAAAAGAGGAAGGGAGGAAGGGTTATGAAGAGAAAGGAAGAAGCTGCCATCGACCCCCAGCCATAGCTAGAGGCTAGTGGCGATGGATGTAGCCGGCTAGGGTTTTGTTAAGAGAGGAGCTTTTGGAGAGAGGAAGGGAGTTCAATCTATGTAATTATAGTTTCATTGTAATTATCTAAACTACCTAACGAAAAAATTTATCAACAAAAAAAGAAAAGAGTGAAAAGACAGTCTGTCACCTAAATAAAACTATGAGTAGTAATATAAATTTGTACAAACTAAATTTTTATGTTATTTTTCTAATTTTAAAAAATAAAAATATAAGTTTACCGAAAAAAAAAAATCGCTTTTCTCTCTCTCACTCCCTCTCTCTTTCACATTTCTCTCTAACTTTTTTCTCTCTTATATGTTTTCTAGAAAAATATAAATAAAAAAACAAAAAAACTGTTTCACATACAGAATGTGTGAACTTAGGCGAATATTATGTTAATTGGCTTTTTTTATTTATTATTTTTATACATTAGTATTATTTTATTAAAAAACTGACTTAATATTTAGTTGTAACAAGGTGATCAAGTAAACTACGTAAGTAGTGTGTACTTTATTTGAGAAACTTCAAAATGATATAGTTTTACCATTTTACCTATTGATATTTAGAGAAGATGATTGTATTGTTGCCCCAAATCCGTGTAATACTTGTAGAGAACTCTTGTAATCCCTATATAATGCTAAAGGATCACATTTTTGTACCACATTTATGTATCATTTTATGTGGCAAATAATGTGTACTTGTCACGTTAACCAATGAATATATTTTATTGGATGTTGATTATAAACATCACTTGCCACATAAGATGGTATCCTAATGTGGTAAAATATGTGGTCTCCTTAGTACTACTCGGATGGTTATCTAAAATTCTCCAAATATTGTTCAACTTGGTATTAGAGCAATACTATCTCAATAACATGTGTTTTCTGTGTGCGTTCCATGTCCCAGACATATATGTTTTGTGATTTTTTGTCGTGCTCTCCACTACCCTTGTCACACCCCTCATCGTGTCCTTGTCGTGCTATAATTTTTCCCTTAAGCTACATATGTGGCTCGTTTACGTAACTGTAATCAAAATAAGAGGAATTGAATTGAGGGAGAATTAAATTGAAGATGAGTTGGAATGAGGATGAGTCAAAATCAAATTCATGTTGAACCTATTACTTAAATGTTTTAGAATCGAAGTAAAAATAGTATTGATGTCATTAGAGGAAATTGTAGCTATGGTCCTTCAATTTCAAGTCAATTATAACTTTGGTCCATCAACTAAAAATCCCCTAGATATAGTCCTTGAACTTAATAGATTGTGTAGCGTCAATCCTTGTGTTCTAACACTGTCAAATATTCCGTTGAGGTGCATATATGGCTGGTAGATTGGACCCAGAAGTACATTAATAGGGAATAGTATTTGAAAATCCAAAAACATAGTTCCCTGCACAACAGCAAGAGTGCCGCAATTACCACCAATTGACTCCGTCTCCCTCAATTTTGCTTCGCGATCTCCACCCAAACCCTCTGGTTAAAAAAACACTATTAGTTTTGCCCGCTGCATATTTGTTGGTCCCATTGTCCTGCCACACAAGCACGTTGACTGCAAATATAATGGAAGGACAAATGCTCCATAGCTTGACAAATTCAAAGACTATATCTATTGAAATTTTAGTTGAAAAACCAAAACTACAATTGACTTGAAAGTTAAAGAATCATAACTACAATTTACTCATATCATTTGTGATGTTTACTAATTCACAGAAGTTGAAAATAATACCAATGTGATTACTAAATGGACAATACTTAGGTACTCGGTAGGCAGTACCTAATTTACTCACCTTCTTAAGTGGCCCAATAAAAATATAGCACCCGTCTTCTACCACACTCTTGTTATATTGGTAACCAAACACTCTGTCTCCTTAAACCATAAACCAAACACTCATCTTCTTCTTCTTAGACGCACACACTTTCGAGTAGCCTCACCAGTCACCACCCACTACCCACTCCCATCTCTCCTCCAACCTCTGTCCTTCGTCGATCACACACCCCACACCCCAGTCCATCCTCCAATGGTCGACCCACCCCAGACCTTCGATATCTCTCCTCCATCGTCACCCTTCCTCCGCAACACTAAACCAGTAAATCCAACCAAATAGGTGTGGTAATCATCCATTTTGATGTGATTTTTCAAACCCTAATCTCTTAGTTGCGGTCAAAATATAACCTTTATTTTCTTCTGGTAACATGTCAAAATTTAACTTTAAAAGCATAAAAAAAAATCATTAATTCTAGTAGAAATTCAAATGATCTTGATTATGAAGCATGTGTTGATGACGATGAGCGAGATGCTTAGAGCAGGGGATGGGGCTGACGGCAACCATGACAGATTTGCCATGGTAACCCAGAAAGGGGAGGAAGATGATGGCGTTTGGTTATAGGTTTAAAGGGAAGAAGATGTTGTTTGGTT